GTCAGTGTGTATAAGAGACAGGTACATGGGGAAAGCTGCTGTATCTCGTGATGTGGTCCAGGGAAGCAGTTTGTCATACCTACCACTGTTTTAGCTAAGCCTTGTGCAAAATAACAGTAAATCTTTCCTGTAATTCTTCAAGATAAGAGGTAGAAATGGGAGGCACAGGGTGGGGAAAGCCACAGTTCTTTCTGTCCATCAGGCTGTCCAGAAAATTGATCTGAAAATGTTACTGATAATGACCTTTAGGATAATCTCTCTACTTTGATAGACTAACAGCTGCATGCTAACACAGACATTGATTCATCACTGTCCATGCTTGTCCATTTGAACTTACTAATTACTCTGCTGGAAAGCAGCAACTCTTAATTTTTGCAGTTGCATGCCTTTCTTTTATTCTTCCTCTCCCTTCTAGTTATCTTAATCAAAATAGTACTGTGTGTTTTAAAAATTCATGTTGTGGGAAAAGAATTAGTATTTTAGTGAACAAGAGTCAGATTCACAGGTAGTGTTTCAGGCTTCTTGCAGACTGAGACTGTTTGGAGTCTATTAATCAGAAATACACACGTAATAATAAAGCAGGAGCTGGATTGTATACATTGTTGTTCTGCATCATAATACAGGTCACAAACACCCAAAACTAATGCTTGATACTAATGGTCTAAATGAACTTTTTCAAACCATGTGAGTTACACTGTCATTTGTAACTCCATGTCTCCATGTGTCTTAATATAAATATTGTCTTTGGGTGCTTTGATTACTTAAATATGTATATGGATAAATATGATGAACGATGAAGTTCTATGAAGTTAAAGCATAAATTGCAGAGCAAATGTGGAATTGGAAACATTACTTGAGGACAGCTCAAGCAATCACTAAGCATTATACTCCCTCTGTGGTAATAAACTTGTTTTCACATCATTTTTTTTAAATTTAAAATAAATTTCCCTATGTTTTTATTCTTAAGTATTTTCAAGCAGCACAAGTCCAGCTCTATTTAAGAGAAATAATCTATCCAGAGATTGATCTAGTTTTAGATTTTAAAAAAATTTGTCAGAACCAAAGAAGTAGTCTCTAATCTATGTCTGTCCTGAATATTTCTTTAAGAAAGCCTAGAAAATAACTTATGGGTAAAATTTATATCTGCAAATGGAAGAAGCCTCAGTCAAAATTTTGGTGTCAAGTCAAATACAAAACAGAGTTACTCTCCTTGATCAGAACTACTAATACTGAACTATGAGACTGCAGTAGTAGCTTATTTTCCAGTTAATTTTTTCACATAATGAACATTTCCTGTAATAAACAGATTGCCATGAATTTTTGTTAATATGTACCAATATGCTGCTTATGTTAGTACTGGGATAACAGGCTTTCCTTCTAAAGAATGATTCTAGAACTGGTACTTAAACAGAATTACAAAAAATAGTTTGACTTCAAAGAGAAGATTTAATTTTAAGCATGTTCCTTTAACGGTGGAAAATTAGTCAGAACTATGTGAAAGTACATGTATTTCATGAAATACACCAATCAACTGTTCCCTTTCCCTCATATCTAAAGGCTAAATTTTAAAAGTGAGATAGTATCTTACCCTTTTCTTGAGGCTGAATAACTTCAGATTTAGGCAGGTATTTTTAGACTTCCCATGCACATGTGGGGTATGGGATTGGGAATTTGTCTGCAACCTCAATGCTACTAAAAACAAATATAATTAAAACTCGTGTATTTATAGCCCTTCTAGAAACTCTTCTAGTTACATTGAGTGATGACCACCTTGGTTACCCTTTGTAAGCTTTGTGGTAGAAGAAAGACCTTTTTTTTTTAACATGACACAAAAAAAAAAAAGCCTGTCAAATTGAGTGTCTGCTTCTTTGCTATTAAAATAATTGCTTTAATAGCAAATAATTATTTTAACAGCAGAACAGCAGCCTTTCTTAACTTGGGGGAATTATCTAATTTAATGAGGAAGAACAGAAAATACCCATCTAACAAAATGTTGTAAAAAATGCCATGGAAGTGATCTCTAAACAATTAACCTAAGAGTTATTTTCTGAGTAAAAAGTAGAGCATGCCACAAAGTGCTTTTTAATACATTTCACTGATAGAGTACGTTATGTAAATAAGTAAAAATATCTTGCTTGTTGTGCCTAGAGTACAAAAAGGGGTTTTGTTATTAGAGTAGCTGTCTGGTTTGCCCTTCAGATGTTTTTTCACTACACTAACAGAATGGAGGAGGACTAGTTTTCCAGACTTTGTTTTTGATTTACATCAGAGAAATGTGAAGATTAAGAATTACCAGTATAAAATTATGGGGAGAAAATACTGTATCTGCTGCAAAGTCTGAAGTTTAGTTCAGCATTTTCATAACCAAGTGCTTACCCATTTAAAGACTTTGAAAAAGGGTATTGTAATTATAACTTTAGGTGTATAACACAGAACTTAGTATTTTTACTATCTGCTTAAATACTTTCCTTCACTTTCAGTAATTCTAAATGGCCTTAAGAGTACAAGTGTTGCTCTTCCCATGCTCTATGTTGCTTTGTAAATGGTTCTGCAGCTTCATACCAAGCACCAGCTTCCAACTACCATTAATTATAACAAACCGCATCTTCCTCTAAATGGTACTGCATGGGGGGTTTTGTCCCGAATATACTGTACTTGCAGAAGCTCAGGCAATTTATGAAGTACTACTCAGTGTTACGTTTCAATAGCTTCCACTTTTTGTTTGTAATGCCTTTAAAATTTCTGAAGTTTTTCCCCTTATCAGTGTTATTCTCTTCCACTTGGCTAATGCTGATGAACTCTCTCTTATGTTTCTAGCTCAGCAAAAGTATGTGGCTGTGTTTTAATCAGTTTGTCTATGCACTTCTACCAGACTATACAGCTGTAGGAAATAGTGTTTACATTTCCCTGCCAGCAGCAAGAAAAACAGATATTTTTTTTCTCATACTGTCTGAACTGGGGTTCATAACAGTTCAAATCTGCAGAAGTGGTTGTGGAAATAAATGTGCAGTTCTATGCTTGTATTCTGGCAGGTGAGTCCTCTAGGAAGAAATGCTACTTGGGTTGAGGAGCAACTGCAAGATCCCTGCTTTTTGGTTGTTGCCACAGTTCTTCACTTTCTGTTAAAAGAGCTGTAGTGCTACGAGGCATTGGTTTAGAATTCCTTCCTGCAACGCCTTGAAATTCCTCTTCTGTGGTATTTTTCCAGTGGCTTGTTTTCCAGTGTATATATCCTTACTTTCTCTTTACCTCTACACGTTTAAAGCTTTCCAATTAATTCTAAGCCAAGTATTGGTTTCTGTGAGAGAACAGTAAGGAGAAGTAGCAAATGTTAGAGGCAGCTCTTAAAAGGGCTGGTGTGTTATGAGGTGGAATTTAACATGAGACTTAGCTTTTCACACGTACAACTGAGTAAATGAGTAAGTATAGCTCTTCCTGTGATTTAAAGTTTGTTGGAACATATTTGTTTCCAGCTGTCCTGTGCCCAAGATCAAATCTGCAGTGAACCTGTATTATCCATGAAATCTGGTGTTTGTAGAACAAGGCATAAGGAATATGCCATCTGTTTAGCTTTTGAGGGGATTAACCTTGATTAGCTTTAGGAGTCTAAGCATGAAAACTATTTGGCATATCTAGCTAGTGATTTGTCTGTTAAAACTATCTTTTACAGGTGTGCCCTTTTTCATTGACTGCAGGTGTTGTCAGGATGACTAAGTTAAGCTTGGTGGTTAACTTAGCTAACTGAAAATGAAGTGAGGTGAATCCTGCACTGATTAGTTTCAGTATTGGTGAGATAAGATAGGGTGATTGGTGTGAAGATTACATTTTGCTCCTGATGCAGTTGTTGTAGTCTGTTTTGAGGACTACCTCCCCATTTGTAACTAAGTTGTAGTAGGTTAATGTGAGGAAACAGATTATTATCAAAACTGATAAGCTAACTTCAATACGGAGGAGTGAGACCTAAAACTGCTAGTCAAGGAACAGTGATAGAGATGGTACAGGATGGAAATAGCTCTACAGCTGGCTTGAAAGACTCTGAAGTAATAAAAGATTTTCTAGTGGAGCTTTGAGGATGTTGCTGACTTGAACTTAGAAGACCTTGAAAGGTATAGTTAAGTTCTGAGCCAGTTCTCTGATAAAAGTAAAGGTAAGCTTGAAGCTCTTCATTAATCTGAACCATGATTCTTGTGGCAGGGAGCTGTTTCAATAGCTATATGATAGTTGGAGGCATCTTCCTTACTGATCTTGCAGCTGTTTAGATAAGGGTTAAAATAAGCAAGTGACTATGCCATTGACTTGAGAACTCTGGTGAACAAGACCTCACACTGTAAAAGTAAACGATAATACTTCAAATGCCTTTAGGAATTACAAACAGGCTTTCAGTTTGTTTTATTGTAGTAATTTGAATCATGCCATTGCTATCTTAACATGAGCTAGCACATCTGAACAATTAAGTGTTAAGTGGAAAACTTCAATCTTTCCATCCAGTCTGAAATTGCCTGAAAAAAATGTTACATCTTGAAATACAAGGCAGTCACTTTGACTGTCAGCCAAGACCATCCACTAGATCGTGTGTGTTGTGGAACTATTCCCTACACTTCCAAATACTGTGAATAGATAAGGTACATTAAATTCCAGCAAGCTAATGCTCTTTTTACCGTCTTCTGTCATACAAATGTGTATTCCACCATCCAGGTATGTTCATTTGAGTAAATGAAAAGTAAATACATATTTTGGTCTGTGAATTCTAATATGTGAAATTTAGAATACTGCTGGACTGTAACAACATTTTGAGTTGAAAACAGCTGTAAAACTATCCACTTTTATTTTACCACATGTTATGACAGTAGTGATGCAGTGCCTTGTGTTATTGGTGCCTTATCTTTCTTCCCCATGCAGGCAGACCTCACAGTGCAAGAAAAGGAGGAATACCTTAATGTGTCTCGTTGGTTCAACCACATTCAACATTATCCAGGTGTCCGACAACATCTGTCTAATGTCATCTTCATCAAGAACAGATTATACACTAATGCTCATTAAGGAAAATCTTAGTGTCATGTTGAAAGGCTATTTGGGAGTTTAGAAGCTATACTGTCCAAAACCACTAACTTGCAAATACTGGTTTGTAACCTTCTGTATGTGAACGAAAACTGTTGATGCCTCAGATAATACAATTTCATTGCTATTGTTTTTTTCAAGAATTTTAACTAGTTAAAGAATTGTGTCATAGATCTGATTAAATGCAACAATGGTAGAAAGATGGAAATTGAAAGAACTTTTCATTTTAAAAATAGTGAATTAAAACAATTAAACATTCAAGTGTAATTACATGGTCTTTGTAGGAAAATTACTTATTTTCCTTCAATTATTCACTCCTTCTGCTATTTATTGAATTTTTACCTATGTCCCACTTTCTTTTCATTTTATTTTTCCATGGATGTTTACACTAGTTTTGTAAAAGTTAAGAGCTATATTGTGTGCCAAGGATGTGAAAAAGGGAACATGCAAATGTTACAAAGTATTTATGTGACTGAATAAATTATTTTAAAACTGTAATCTTAATTTGGCTGTGAAACTTTAGTTTTTCTTCAGTAAAGAAAATTTAAGATTTTTTAAATGTTAGTTCACTTGCTACTTCATTTTGTGGTATATGGCCTATTATTTTGATTCTAGGAGCATTTTCTTTCAAACTCAGTAACAGTGTTTTTTGAGTCTCGCTTCATATGGTATTTCCACCCAAGTGCAAACATGAGTTACAAGACCTAAAAAAACAAAAAAAACCCCAAACAAACAAACAAAAAAACCCAAAAAACAGACCACCAACCAAAGAACCCACACCAAATACAAACCAATCAACCAAAAAAACCCTTAGCTTAAGATAATAACCTAGTCAAATTCACTCTCAATGTTTTAAAGTTTGTTTAAAAGGGAAGACATGGTTGTTGAATGAGACATGGGGACGGGTCATTTCACTGTGGAATGTTGTCCCTTTATTTTTAATAAATTTAAAAATGATGACAAAGTCTTAAGGATATGTCTGAATTGAGTGATTTTCTATACAATTCAGTTAAAATTTTTAAACTGACAGAAATACAAAAATATTTTGATATTTTAATAATCTTCTATGTTGGTTTCTACGACAATTTCAGTTGTAGATTCTTTTGTCTTAACTTGTGTGCTGCTTTAGGAACCTCCCACCCAGTCAGGACTTAGCTGTTTGAGCATTTTGAATGTTACAAGGCCTTAAGAAAAAGTGAAATGAGGTAATTAAAATATATCCTAGCACATAAAAGGACAGAAGAAAATTGCATGAGTAAGCTTAACTTGGACAATTCCAGGCTTTGTAAAGAGGTGTTTTCTGTATGTACATAATTCCTTTAGAGGGCTTACCAAGCACAAGGTGTCACTTTTAGGATTGTCTCATGTTGCTAAGAAAATATTCATGTTTTGTTTGAAAAAGTTCTCATTCTTTCCCACGGGTCCTAATTCTCAGCTTCTACCATTTCTCCTGTTAGTTACTCTTGTTTGCTATTTAGAAGCAGGCCTTGTGTACTTAATTATGAAGATCTCCCTGAAATCTTGAGATCTGTTCAAGAGTTGTGGAGTGGGCTTCAGGGCAAATGTACATTAGACCCTTCCCAAACTCTTCATGTGTGACTACCTAAGGGCTTCAGGTTTTTACTGTCAGTACTTGGGCTCTTAATTTCCAATTTATTTGAACATTTGTTACCTAGTAGTACGTATATAAGCAAGTTTGCCTTTTTTCCCCTACTTATGGCTGGGAGCAAGAGATTATGAGACTTAGAAAAATAACTCCACTTCTACTAAATTCTACTATAATGGAATCATTTTTTGCTTCTGAATGGGAGCATGAGTGGGAATAATCAGTGCATTTGGTCAGGGTTTGGGGAAGTTCTCCATTGACCTTACAGATTGTTTGGTTTTATATATGCTATTGCAAATAAGAATGATTTAAGTTTTTTAAAGTGTATGTGCAAGCCTTGATCCATGAAAACAGCAGCTTACATTATAGCTAGGAATATTGAAATAGAACCAGAGCTAAAAATATTGCTGGAAACAATACTGTTGTCTTGTCAGACAAGTTTCATAGGGATGATGCTACAAAGGGTCTTTTTTTTTTTTTTTAATCCCAAACAGCCGCTGTTTCTAAGTGTTGGGATTTCTCAAGGTGGCTACATGCTATGGCTGCAGTATCCCCTAGCCTCTTGTGCCAGTTTTGTTTTCTCTGGTGTAGAACAGAAGTGTTACTTGCTGCTGAAATGTTGAATAAAAAAAGTTCATCTAACAAAGATAAAAATGTTTAGAAGTGGATTAATAAAATTTAACTCTATGCTATCTAAAAAGCATTTGGTCATTATCATATGCTAACTTGAGCATTTTGATTTTCTCTCCCCTGCATGGAGAAGCTTAAGGGAGTAGAGGGTTAAAAGGAAAAAAGGATGAATTGCCTTTAGAGAGATTACTGGGAAAACCACATGGTATTGATTTCCTCCTCTCTTCCCCTTTCTGTCTAATGCCTTTTGATCATCAAGGACAACTTAATATGTAAAAAAACTTCTAAAAAATTATAAAAATGTAGCTTGGTCTATCTGAGACTGTATGAGGTACATTTTTTTATGATGATGCTTCATATTATTTACAGATGAGGTATACTGTATGTGAGCTCTCAGATGAACATTGATGGTCTATATGAAAAGTGTGCATGAGTAAATGTTCTGCTGTTTTTAAAGCTACTACTGCTTGCCTTTCTGCTTCTGTAATATTTTATTATACTTTCACTGAACATTAGTAAAAGTCACTTTCCACCTTTGCAACCCCCTTCTCCTTTCTTAAAATTTCAGTTGCTGAAGGGCACAGTAAATACTGTGATGTTGTTTTACTTTTGTTCCTTCACAGTTTGATGATGATGATGACCGCAGTGATCTGTGGAACTTATTTTCACAGCATTTCATGAACAGTGACACTCTCATTTGTTAATGTATCTCATCATTGCAGTATTATTATTTTGCATAATTGTTCTATCTAATTTATTCAAGGGGCCTGACATGTTATGGTCTTTTAAGTATGTGCCTCTAGGACTTGAGGTTGTTGCCATATGGTGAGATAGTGCTGCATGACAGCCTTTCAGCAACTGAAGAATTCAACAGTGAAATAAATATGATAATTGTAAGTGTTCAGTGAAATCTTACACTTACCACTTTGTCTTTTTTCCCCTCAGTGCCAAGATGACCACTGCTTGCAGACAAGACAGGTTGTAACAGGTGTTAAAGTATTGCATCAGATATTAGAAATGTGCTGGTGATTTTTAGTCATCATTGTACGTGTAACTTCATTTTCAAGTGAGAGTTCAGTTTGACTTCAGAAGTCTCCAGGAGCAGTTCTTGCACTGCGCAACAGGGATTTTTATAAAAACTCAGGTTTAATATGGGATTAGAAAATAGTGAGTACGAATGAGAAATTTGAGATGTGTTACACTGAATAAATTAGAAAACTAGTTTAGACCTAGGTACTAAGAAAATCTGACCATTCAGATGGAACTGAAGCATAGGCTTTTCAGCAGCAAACCTGTAAGGAATTCTTTAGTGATAGCTTTAGTGTATAACATGCTTTTTGTTGAGTTCCTTTTGTGTCATCAGGTTGGCATCCCCTCTTTCCACACAGAAAACAAGTGAGGAGATATCACTTCTAGTTAGCAACTGAAACAGTCCAATCAAGCAAGTTTTGTTACCTTTCTTCACAGCCCACCCACAGTAAGTACTTAATTTCCAGAAGTTTTCCCTATAGAATTGCCAGAGATTCTTTTGAGTATAATATCTAACATTTGCAGAGTGAGGTCTCTTAGCTGTTTGCCTGAGAGGTGATATTTTCACATCCTTTAAATCTTTTTTTTAATCCTGTAATCCTTCTCTGTAGCCTACCCCACTCTCTTCAAAATATTTTTAATCTGTAGTAGCCCTTCTCCCAAGAATTTCTTACTACTATCTGAATCTTTGAAAGAACATAAGCCTAGAAATGGTGAATTTATTTTTTGTAAGGTGCATCTTAAACTTCCCAGTAGATGTTATAGTTTATTGGAGTATCTTGATAAAATAATTCTTCAGCTTCTCTTTCTTTCTCTTTGACACACATACACATTTACATTCTCTCACACACCTACACATTAATTTGAATTATAGCTGGTGGAGGAGTAATCTAGATTCATCAGCGTGGCTGTGTATCCTGGGTTATTAGTGGGAAACAGAGACTAACTAAGGTTTAAGATGGATGTGAGTACTTTTCAATTCATATAAGACACTCATTTATATTAACTTATATGAAAATGTGACTTAGAAGTGTTAACATGGTTTGTCCGTGAAATAAAATACAATCAAATAACATTACAGATGAAGAGAGCTGTAGAACTCAGGCATCTTTACTGTCTTGGTTAAAAAGCAGTAGATGATCAAAACTCTGCTCCTCAGTGCTGTGGATTTGGCAGAGGTCAAAGTACTTAAAAAGAGGTTAGCTGAGAGAGATGAAAATGGATACAACTATAAAATCAAGAAATCCATTGTAAGCTCTTCTAGTCAGAGGTCTGGTTCATATTCTTTCTGACCTGCCATCATCTTCTGTTTGCATCTCTGCAGGTGATGCATGGTTTGTTTGGTACATGAATGCTGAAGTTGGGAATAGACATTATCATGATTTTTCTCCAAGTAAATTTGCCTTGGTATGGCTATAAATTGATTTTATAATCGTATGTGTCTACAGAACCTAGTATGTCATTTTTTGTGCCGCTTTTTTTTTTTTTTCTAGGAAGAGGGATCTGTAGGACTATCTGATTTTTTTTTTCCTTTTGCGTTTTAATCTTATCACTTTTAATCTTTAGTGTGTTTCACGGTCTTTAACTTCAAAGTGTAATTGCAATGATTCAGCTGCTTAATGGATTAATACATTTAATATCTTCCCCCTAAGAGCGGTATTTCTTCTTTGCATCTATAATTGGATCGTGCTGCTGCTGTCTCTAGTGGAAACACCAGGTTTCATATTCACCATACACCTGAGCACATGCTTAACTCACTTGGTAATCTTAATTTTTCTTCTGGATTTATCAAAATGTAATTGTATTCTGCACATTTTTGTGCTTGAATTTTATTGCAAAAGACATGTGAGGGGAGATGCCATCATGTGCCTCTGCTGCACCGAGCTTTTGGATTCAGGATGGTCTTTGTATCCCACTGCTGCCTGTCTCGAATATTAGATTTACAGTACTTCAGAGCCCAGCTCCAGGGCTATATATAAAGATATCACAGATTGGGGGGGAATTAATTTTGTATCAGGGGTTACTTGTTGCTGCTCTGTGCGCGTTCCTACAGGCGTGGCCTTTATTTTCCATGCTGGTAGTGACTACAGCAGCTGTGGCTGCTGCAGAATGCCACACATCCCATCTCTCACTCTGCAGGCAGGCGGGAGGTGAGTAGTTTTTCATTGTTGCGGCATCTAAAGGATTCCCCTTTCCCCTCCCACGCTACCTTGGCCCCTTTAGGAAGATTTTCATCTATTAAACTTTCCTTTCTCCGTTGGAAGAACTAAATCTCTTTCAGCATTTCCAGGCTGGTGATCTAATTTGACAGCTCGGTGATGTCTATTCCACTTCAAAGAGGCAGGTAGCCTCGGGCTAGCCAGCTGCATTGTGGATTCTGCAGATTTGGCTTGCTGTTCCTGCTGGGTGTCATCTGTCTTCTTAGTCTCGCGGTGGATGATTTTTGTCCTCCCTAGCATCATCTGCCTGAGCAGTTTCTGCCTGGCAGGCCTGTCTGTCCAGGTTGAGCATCAAATACAGTAGCCGCACAGCTAATCTGACAGGGCAGTCCTCCAAACAGCACAGCCCCGGGCCTGCTTTAGCCAGCATTGGCATTGCAGCCCTCAAACTTCCAGCCATCATGATCGCGGTCTTGGTCTCCCATCACGGGTGCAGCCCATGGACTTATTCTGCTGGCGCAAAGTATGTCCCCCGCCTCACCCGCTTAAGGGCCGTCGCTCCAATTCCTCCCGTCCTGGCAGACGTCTGCCTCAACAGGTTTGGGTTTCCCTGCCTGTTGCCAGCATCTGACTTGGACACCGCCACTTGGATGAAACAATCCTTTAGTGGATTATCATCGCCAGACAGCCTGTGGGGGAAATGACAGGACTCGGCACGTTCATCTGAAGATTTTGCAATCCGGAGTGCTGCTAACGCTAATGGGAAGTGGCAGGGTGATCCCTAAAAGAGAAAGCGGGTTCCATTGCATGGCAAAAGTGACAGAAGTTGTTTAGCCTCTCTTCCAAAAAAATACATGATGACTACATATGTTGATTTTCATGCTCCGAGCCATAGCTATTTCCATATTTTTGTGACTTGATGACTACTTCCTACAAACTGACAGGTTAGGGGCTCCACAAGTACTGTCTTTTCATAGCCGTCACCTCTTTAAATCCTCCAGAATTTTTAAAAATATGTTTTGAGAACAAGCTTGATGGGGCAGTGAGAGTAAGCAAGGGGAAAAAAACAACCAAACAGGCATAAATGCAGCAAGTAAAGCATATTCTTTAAAAAAAGTATTCAAACAAAGAGATGAAATGGTTTCAGGACAGTAGTCCTATAAACTGATGCACTTACCTGTGACAGGATTTGCCCTTGTTGCAGTACCGTAATTCCAAACCTGACATTACTCATGATGTAAAAATTCTTTCCTAGTAATTTTAAACCCCTTTAACTACAGAATTTCCTCCTTGACAAATAAAAAAAATAGCTGGAGCATAGGGCTTAGAGGGGGAAATAACTTGTTTGAGAGAGACTAGGAAAGGATGGCAGCTAGACTGAAAAGAGATAAAATTAACATTTGAACAATTTTACCCCTAATTATGAGTGATCATCAAGCCAGCTGGAATATCCTACAGATATTATTAATATATGAGCACTAGTATAATTTACTCGTGATTGTCAAGTGCTTACGTGCTTTGGATCCAAGTGGAAAAATATAAATACTGATCTATAGGTTGCAAGAGATGGTTAGTTTGAGGGAAAAAAAGATATGTGTAAGGGAACAGTATTTTTTAATAACAGTTCTTACCTCTGCTAATTACCTATTTAATGTAATATATACAGACTATGTAACAGTGAATGAGTGAAAAACTATTTTAGATTATATATTTGTGCTGAATTTAATAATAATGTTGGTTGAAATTATGATGTAAGATTCATTTTATTATTTAAAGATCTAACCATATTTTGACTGATTTGGGGGGAAGTTGTTTCAGCAAAACCAATTAATTCATTTTTAAGGCTGAATTTAGATGATCATATGTTTTATCAAAACAATATTGTGATTTCAGTGAGCAGTTTCTGAGCTTTGATAATGGGACACAGAATAGGATCATTTTTTGTGTCTGTTGCAATAGCTTCACACCACAACAAAAGTCGTCTGTGTTTTTTTTCCTCAGCCAGGCAATTGTTCCTATTTATAAAAACTATACAGAGTAGAACATGGGCAGAGCTAATTTCTAACAAATAAATATATTCTGCTCCTGTTTTCTACTAATAAAACAGTAATTGTTCCAGCTAAATTGGCTCCTTTCAGGTATTTCGTATCAGGACACTGAAGGTTGCAGCAGCTGTAGCAGAATTTGTGGTCCAGTCCTTCCTTCACTGACTGGAGAAAAACACTGAGCAGAGTGGTATGTATTGCAAATAAGAGAGATGTGTAAAAAAACCCCAAGCTGTAAATGCAGTTACCTAAATAGGATCAAGCATTTGAAAAGTTATTTAGTCTATATAGGAAGCATGAAAAAGGAAGTCCTGGGAGTTTCTGTTAATACACTGCCATTTGTTAAGGGGGTAAGTATACTGAAAATATCCCCACACTCTCAAATGGTTTTAAAAGAAATATATAAGGATTTTATGTCATTTTTGCTTTTTGTAAAATCGGTTGCTGCTCTTAAATTTTTGTAGCCCACATGTCCAACAGTTGTGACTCATGTTCGCTTCACCTAGAAGCAAACCGTTTCATCTGAATGCATATCCCTTCTCCTAAAACAAAAACCAACAAGCAGACAAGTACCGGGTTGGGGGGGTTTTTTTTGCGGATTTTGGTTGGTTTGGTTGGTCGGTTTGTTTTCAGAAATGCAGGCCGCTGTGCCCAGAGAAAGTCTGGTGCCGGGCTCTGCGCTGGAGATGTCCCTGACGCCCAGGCCAGGAGGGGGCAGCCACGGCCGGGCCGGGCCGCACAGGGCCCCTGAGGTGGAGGCACCTTCCTTCCCTTGTAAGAATCTCAGCGCAGCCGAGGGGGGATCAGCGGGCGGCACCGGCCCGGTGGCGGCAGGAGGCCGGCGCTGCCCCCCCTCCCGCCGCGGGTACGGCAGCGGCGCGCGGTGATGACC